GGTTTAATAGGTTAGGTCCAGGCTCAGAACTGAGATCAAGACTGGGATCAAGAAACTCGAATAAAGCAATTACATGGAGCGTCGTCAAAGCCCGAATGTGGACCTGTTTGCGAACACAATTCTCTGCACAATCTCGACAAACCGGTCCAGATTCAGGCGTCGAGGAAACCGAAAGGCTAATAAGCACACCTTTGCAGTGTGTCCACCTAAAAAAATACTCCAAAGGAAGACTAGCAACCCCACATCTAGTCCAGTGGGACCTGGGCCGAGGTCCCACTACCTTCTTCCCCCGAATACAACGTACGGTTATTATAGCTGCATCTAGACTGAAAGATGCCTCAAATACAGCTATAATGACCATAAGTTGTATTCGGGGGAAGAAGGTAGCAAAGAGGATAGGATGAAGATCCTGAATCTGAATGTGTTTTATGCAGAGATGCAAAAAAGCAGTTCAATCTCAATTTCCTGCACCTAACGACAAACACGTCCAGATTCAGGCACTCGAGCCGATCCTCTTTGCTAGTGGGACCACGGCCCTGGGCCCTTGCTCCCTTCCCGGGTTATGATGGTATCCTTCTCGCTTTTCTTTTCTCTTCTCTGGCCCCTCTCTTCGTCCCCTGGGGCAAGGTCCCACTAGCAATAGCAAGGAGGATTGGATTGGAACGCCTGAACCTGGACGCGTTTGTGGAAAGGTGGACAAAATCGAGATTGAACTGCGTTTCTGCATTTGTGCTGAAAACACGTCCAGATTCGGGCTTTCCATCCACCAATCCTCTTTGCTAACGGTAGTAGGACCTCGCCCCTGCTTATGATGGTCCTTTTTCCTCTTCTTTTCCCCTTTTCTCTGGTCCTTTTGCTCTTCCTTTTCTGCTAGCAGGTCCCACTAGCAAAAAGGACAGGATATAGCCCTGAATCTGGATGTGTTTTAAGCAGAGATGCAGAAAAGCAGTCCAATCTCGATTTCCTCTCCATAATCTCGTCCAGATTAAGGCATTCTATCCGATCCTCTTTGCTAGTGGGACCACGCCCCAGATAAATTTTATTTTGTTTATCTGATTGCATAAGATTCGAACTTGGAGTCCGTCTATGTTATTTATACAAGCCCGGGGCTAGATACCACTTACACGAATTAAGCGATATTGACCGTGGATAGCACAGATCAACAGCCAGAATCTCTTAATCCATGCAAATGGGGCCTTGCCCAGGAAACGGGCCAGGCGTCCCTCACAATGCTTCCAGGGCGTTGCCGCACGGCACACGAAACGAAAAACGAAACGAATGAATCTTCCCAGAGAAAATGGCCAGGGTCATCGGTTTGCTATAAATGGTAAGAGTGTATTTTGCCACCTTTGTTGGGAAGATGCACTCGTTTCGTTTTCGTTTCGTGTGCCATGCGGCGAGACCCTTAGGGAGCTCGTCCAGGCATCCAGGCATCCAGGCATCATCGGCCTGACTCGAAGGGGGGTCACTGCAATGACAAATGCCCAATACCTTCATCCCCCCAATACAACGTACGGTCATGATAGCTGTATCTAGACTGAAAGATGCCTCAAATACAGCTATAATGACCGTACGTATCTAGACTGGAAGAAGGTAGTATCTCAGCTAACCTACCACAACAGCAAAACATGCCCAAAACAACACTTTTTAAATTTTTAGTAGTTTTTACCACTTTTATCACTGCCGGCAGGAGAGAGTACTGTGCGCCAACAATTCATGGGTGTAAAAAGAAAAAGAAAAAAAATAAAATAAAAAAAATAATGGGTGTGGGGACGTTTGTTGATTAGCTGAAAAATGATTTATTTTCTTTTTTCACCAAACAGGTGTCTTCATATTCCATCACCAAAAAAAGAAAAAGAAAAAAATCATAATTGCACCACACGGTGCAGCCGAATCAGCTAAGAATAGAAAAATCATAATTGCACCACACGGTGCAGCCGAATCAGCTAAGAATAGAAAAAGAAAACAAATGGTACACTCACCAAAAAAAGGATACAAAAAGATTAAAAAAACAAAACAGAAAAAAGGTGCACACACGTTGCACTGGGGCCACAAGTCCCACTAGCAGCGTTGAGCTACCTCAACGCCGGAATGTGGACGCTTTTGCGGAGATGTGCAAGAAATGGTGTTGAGTTTCCTGAACTTCACGTCTCCACAAACACGTCCAGATTCAGGCTTTGAGGTAGCTCAACGCTGCTAGTGGGACTTGGCCCCTGTTGTCGATCTTTGAATTTTAAGGGTGAAAAAAAAAAAAAAAAACTTTTGTTGATCAGCAGGTGAGTGGTTCAGATTCCGCACGACGGCGAGTACTTCCCGCCATCGAAATAAAACAAATAAAATGAAAACAGAGCAACAAAGAAAAGCGTAAAAAAAAAAAAAAAAAAAAAAAAACTCCGTCGATCAAACACCAAAAGCCACGGAGACCCCTTATATTAGTCGCCTTTTCTTTTTTTTTCAAGGCTTATTATTTTCGCCTTTTTCTATTCAGAGCGATATAAATCGATTACACTTGCCAAAAGAAGAAGAAAAAAAAAAGAATGCGAAGAAGAAGCAGCTTAGAATACTACTGTTACACAGTACCGTCGTAAGAATTTTCCTAAAACGGACTGCGGAAGAAACAAGGAAGACGGACGGCGGCAGACGCACCTAACCTCTATGTTACAAAGACGGAAAGGTTGAAGATGGAGCCTCACCCACTCTTCACACCCGCCGTCGAAAGAATTCTCATCTTCAAATCTCGTCCTTTCCAGCCTCTAGATAGTTCCTCTACAGAGATCAAGCATTTGCCAATAGCACCAATCAACGATCGGCCAACCAATAATTGCACATCAGAAAAAGCAAAGCACTTAGGTAGTGGCGTCTCCACTCCAGACTGAACTAAAATCTTCTCCTCCCGGAGAAACACAGAGAGAGAGAGAGAGAGAGAGAGAGAGAGAGAGAGAGAGAGAGAGAGAGAGAGAGAGAGAGAGAGAGAGAGTTTAGAGAGAAAGTAAAGCAAACTCAAAGAGGACTAAGACCTCGTGCCTGTGAAAAGAGAGAGAGAGAGAGAGAGAAATGGAAGCAAACACAGGGGACGAAAACCTTAGATACTAAAAGACAGGGAGAGGGAGAGAGAGAGAGAGAGAAAAGAGCTATATTCTCGCGTACGCGGTTCATTGTTACAAACCAACGGATAAACAAGTGAAAGTCTGAAAGACCTGCACGCAGAGTCTCTCCTTCACCTCCTGATTTCTTGAACAGAAGTCTGAAAGACCTGCACGCAGAGTCTCTCCTTCACCTCCTGATTTCTTGAACAGCAATTACGTTGTCACTTCTGGAGTCCGTTCGATGAAAGCTCTTCCTTACTCCGCTCGGATCCGAATTTCTTCACGTCACCATGGGTCCTACTAAGGACTCGATTCTGCGTCGATGTGATCTGCGGCTTTCGTCAACAGCACTCACAGTCTTTCTCCCTGTATGCAAACAGTCCGAGAGAAACTCCTTGTGCGTAGCAAAGAGAACTGAAACGAACGCCTGAATCTGGACGTGAATGTGGAAGAGGTGCAGGTAATCACAACTGATCTGCTTGGCTGAACCTCTGCTTAGAGCACGTCGAGATTCAAGAACAAACACTGGTGAAGCTCAAGGCGCAATTCACGCCACTTTTTCCTCACGTCCCTTATAATGGGCCTTATTCCCAAACTCCTGCGCCGCGGGCCCTCTTTCAGGGCTTCCCAAACTCTTGCACCGTGGGCCCTCTTTCAGGGTACTGAGAATGACATCTTACGACTTCTCTGTGGACGTAATTGCGGTCCGATGCATCCATGGCTGGCTGTAATTGCGGTCACATACATCTAAGAAAGTCGCCACGTGAGAAAGGCCTCATAATCTCTACGCACCATACTGCAAGACAGACGGAATCCGAAGGGTACCAGTAAGATGATACAAGAAAAAAAAAAAAAAACCAAAAAAAAAAAAGGAAAACGACAAAAATCCATGTTATTTAACTATGGTACATTACCGTCAAGCGATTCCCGTGCACGGACGAAGTTTCACGAGAAGTTTCACGGAGACGATAGCCGAGAATACCAAGAAAAAACGATGGGCGTCCAACCCACTCCCTACCATCTCATTATGAGAGAACGGGAGTGTGCTCACGCTACGGAGGGCATCGCTGCTGGATGTATCTAACATCAAGTACGGGCCGGTACCGAATGAATGTGACCGGAAATACGCCCAGAGAGCAGTCGAAAACCTCCTCGTGTGAGTGATATGCGCAGAAAATCCAGTCTGCAATAAATCGACCAACAACCACGTACTCGCAGATCACTTACAGATCCAATGCAGCCCTCAGCGTCCGACGTCGTCAGCCATTTCTCTCTCTCTCTCTCTCTCTCTCTCTCTCTCTCTCTCTCTCTCTCGGCATCAGTCTCTGATTAAAACTGGAAAAATCAATAAATCAATCAACGCGTCCGCTACGCCTTGGTCATATCACGAGTGCTTGACATTTCTTCCCCGAAGAAAAAAAAACAAAGAAAAAAAACTGGAAAAATCAATAAATCGGACAGACTACTTACTGTTCTACACATTCCTTCCACGAAAAAAAAAAAAAAAAAAAAAAAAAACTTTTCTACACTATTGTGGCAAACCCCCCACAACAGCTTCGGCCGCAGATTGGTTAACACCTGCCTAAAGATATTGAAAGAAATGAAAAAAAAAAAAAAAAAAACTCGTCATCGCAGATCTTGGTAGTCCTGAAGAAGAAGGAAGGTGCTCCAAGATCCCTGTATATTCTCTGTACTAATAATCAATGTATTTTCCGTACTAATAATAATAATCCCTCTAGTCTTATTATTACTCTTCTTACTCTTGTTATTCTTATTATTATTCTTATTATTATTATTCTTATTATTATTATTTTGTAGCTTTGACGATAAACATGATGAACTATTAATCTCCTTACAACGTTATCAGGGATAAATAACATATTATTGCAGACAAAACTGAAGATGATAAGTCGGACGTCAGCAAGAATCCTGCTTGCTCCATCTTTGAGCTTCCCTCATTTTCCAGAAGTTCCTTCCTCCTTCAAGTTCCCTCCTTTCGTCGAAGTCCCCTCCCTTCTCTCCTCGTCGAAGTCCCCTACTCCTTCAACTTTGCCCATCGACAAGCTATTAGTCTCCTCGGTACTAGTAAACGGTATTTAAGATAAGGGAAGACAAACTCGTGAGAATAAGTCCAACGACGGAGTGGGGGTGGTGGCGGGGGGCATAGCCTTCCTTCACCCACCACAGCTCAGCTGAATACAGCAGACAGATGTGACCCCAGGTCTGACTAAGGGGATATACTCACTCCAGCACTCTATTACTTGGTATATCTGGACCGCAGTGATGACCAGATTCGATGAATATATCACGACTGCAGTCGCATCATCCTGCTTTCTTCTTCTTCTTCAAATTCTCTCGTCCCTCAAAATTCTCAAATTGCCCTCCAACTTTTTAAAATTCGCTCCAAATTGTGTCCTTGCCCTTTTCCTTTTGCCAGAACGTACCTTCAGCCGAACTTTCACGTAACCTTCTTCCAATCACCTCCTTTTCCCGGAATGCAAAGAAGTCGATCTATACTCATGAGAGCGTTCGATAATGATGAGCGGTCCCAGAAAAAAAGTAATTAAAAAAAAAAAATTGATGAGCGGTCGACAATAGCGACGACATGGTTTTCGGATTCGATCGATGAAGCACGTGAATAGCATCCCGCCTCGAATCCAATAAACTAACTACAACTCTTGGCCGATACCTCTATCTTGGCCTATAGCTCTCTCTTCGCCTATAGATCTCTCCTGGCCTATAGCTCTTGGCCTATAGATCTTGGCCTGGACAATGCCAATGCGTCCGTTGATTTATGCCGGTTATGAAAATGCCACCGCTTCAATGTTAGCTTAAGCCGCTAGCGGCGATGAGCTAAAACCGCTCACGTCTTTACCCTAATATAATGCCCGATCCATGTAGCGCTGTTTGGATCCATTTTCCAGTCCAGACGCAGCCATAATGACCGTTGCAGAAAAGAAACTTGTGGCCTACTCAGGAAATTTCGGGCCCGAGCCACGGTCGGTAATCTCTACTTTTTTTAATACCCTTAAAGTCGGGCCCCGGCGCCCCGCCGGCGCGGTCGGTACATTTCATCAACGCCTTTATCACGTTTCCAGCCTCCTAAAGTCGCGCTGACGGGGCCCGGCGACCGATGCATGGTCGTGTATTGGCCTCGACAATGCCAATGTTCATACCTTAGCTTAAGCCGGTTGTCGTAATGCCACGGCTTGCGTTAGCATAAGCTGGCCGTGAAAATGACTATGCCACAGCTACCGCTAGCTTAAGCTGGTCTTGAAAATGCTGATGTTTCCGTTAAGCTGGTCTGGAAAATGCCGATATTTCCGTTAAGCTGGTCTTGAAAATGCCGATATTTCCGTTAAGCTGGTCTTGAAAATGCCGATGTTTCCCTGAGGCTGGCCTCGAAAAAGCCGATGTTTCCGTTAAGCTGATCTGGAAAATGCCGATATTTCCGTTAAGCTGGTCTGGAAATGCCGATACTTCCGTTAAGCTGGTCTTGACATTGCCGATGTTTCCGTTGCGATGGTTCCGTTAGCTAAACGCGGTCTTCAGAACGCCGATGGTTCCGTTAGCTGAAGCCATTCTTGAAAATCCCAATGACTCCGTTATAACTTAAGCCGTTGGATCCCCGGTACGCACGTTTCTGGCGCATATCATATAAAAAATACACACTACCAAGTTCCGTTACCCAACGTCCTGCGTGTACTGAATAGTACAACCTTAGTACGGCTTGGCATAATCCGACCTAGACAATCGATCAACAAACTGGCTTCCCTTCCACGTAACTAAGCCCACGCAAGAAAGCGCTCAGCTTCTTCTTCCCTACGATCAGCCATAAGCCTTTTCTAATCCACGTTCCGAAAACAGTCACAAGTACACTCTTCCACTTCTCTACAACGTCATGCACTTGTACAACAAGCCTTTTCTAATCCACGTTCCGAAAACAGTCACAAGTACTCTTCCACTTCTCTACAACGTCATGCACTTGTACAACATCTCTCTCTCTCTCTCTCTCTCTCTCTCTCTCTCTCTCTCTCTCTCTCTCTCCACACAATTACAACTACTCTCTTCCTCTTCTCTACAACGGCACGACCTTTTACTCTTACAATATTCTCCTCTCCAGCAACACAGAAGCAAAGTTGAAGCAACGTCTCTCTCTCTCTCTCTCTCTCTCTCTCTCTCTCTCTCTCTCTCTCTCTCTCTCTCTCTCTCTCTC